ACAGATACCCCTCAACTGACTAACCTGCTATGGAGCTCTTGCAGCACGCTCTGTATAAAGTTGTCATTTCTTTTATTGATAAGTAAATACTGTTTTTTTTCTAATGTTGTTGTTTTATTTTCCATTTTTCAGCTGTAGAGTAGTTCCTGGAGAAGGCCTTTCCAACAGTGCAACAGCATTTCTTAGCCTGTCTGTATGGTTAAAAGTGGTAGCCCGTTGCACAAAGAATGGAAACCATTGACCCGTTCCTATTTTTTAACACCTTTAACACCTTTTTCCAATATTACTACCTGCAATGTTCCTTTTGTCTCAAGTAGTAAAACAAACAAGCTTTACCTATAAGTGCTGCTGCAGAAAGAAAACTTACAAGTGCTGAAGAAACCTACTTCAAATGTAATGATCACCATATTAGTTTATGCTCCACTAGAAATGTTCAGATGGGGGAAATTTCTTCTTTTGTTGCAGATATTCAATTTTTTTTATCTGATTGTTAAACCTGTGCACTTTTGATATTTTGATATTTTAGTTTAGCTTCTTTCATTTCTTATGTTAGAAGAATTTATATAAATGCTGTGGTTTGTGCTCATAGTCTCTTTCCAATTTGGGTTTGTGCTTGTTGATTTCTACATCAGCATGTGGCAGAGATTTATACTATTTTGTTTTGGTCTAGACTGTGTTTAGAAAAGGGTTTCAACGCAAACAGGGAGCTCTGCTAAACTATATATGTGCTGTGCTTCAGCAGCTTTTTAATGATAAAATGTTAAGCTTTATGTGTTTAAATTACTGATATTTTTTTTTTTTTTTAACTGCCATGTTCATTAAGAAATCCAGGGTATTCAAATTCTGGGGTTTTTTCATATTGTATTATTATTCTTAGGAATAGTTCAATGTAACAAGAAGAAAACTTGACTTTGCTCTGGTTAAAACAGTAATAGGCACTTGAAAAATGTTAAATGAGTAGTATTACCTATAATTTCCAGAGTTTCTGGATTTTAGGAAGTTGAAATATTATTGATTAACAGAATTTTATACAACTGTACCAGTTAAATTCCAAATTGGAATTGTTTTGTTACTTTTTCATTTTATTGTGCCAAATTTATGGTACATTTAGAAAAGGAAAAATTCTAAAGTTGTCACTGATAGGTGTTCTATTTCAGCGCCTTTTTGTCATTAATTATTGCCAGTAGTGCCTTTAATAATTTTAAGGGAGAATTGTAGAATAGCTTAGACTATATACAAGAAGAAATGAACAGCTGTTTTGGAACCTAGTAAAGATATGGAGCAATAAGTGCAAAGTGAACTCCCCTTTCGCACATTTTTAATGGGTAGTCTTACTATAGAGATTATATATACAAGAAATTGTAAACAATTCTGTTAGTCAATGATATTTCACCATGCAGATCCATGCAAATTCAGGGGCACAGAAAACAAAAACTAAAAAACAAACCCGAATACACTTTGGGAACTAAATGGACTTGTATCGAACAAATGAGCAAGGTGTATTAACACACCTGTGGTTGCAGTACAGAGGATGTATTGGGAATATTCATGTTCTCTTAGCTTTGGATGGTGGTGGATGCAGTTAACCATAGTATTGTTTGCAAATGTGAAAGACAAGACATTAATACTTTCTCTTGCATGTTGTATCTAATCATTGTAATTTCAGGAAACAGAAACTGAAAAGTGCATCAACAAGCTGTACCTCTTCGGTGCTGTTCGTTGAGGCAAGTGTGAATGATTAAATTGGTACTTCGGGGGGGAGCTTCCCACCTCTCAAAATAAGTACAAATTGTAATAAGTGTCAGTGGGGAAAAGATTTCTGTTTGCTGGAAGAAGCATTATTATTCCTAGATGTGGGTACATATATTTTCATCTTCTGTTACAGTATTGATTCATAAGAAATATCGTTACATTAAAATTACTACATTTGTATGTGGGTATTTATTTGAAATGATGTCAAAGTACTGTATTATGTTTTATGTGCATTACCTTTTTAGTGGTGGATTGGTCTCCATTTAATGTCATATGCATGTACTCTTGCCAAGTAACCTTTACACAATCTGAAAAAGCAAATGTCATTACTTAAAAGACAAATGTGGAAACTGATTCTTAAAGTATAACTGTGTGTTAATTTGATAACTTTAGGAGGCATAGAGGGCAAAATGTTACTTCCAAATTAATACAAAACGTGTGTGTAATGTAGGAAAGCAATCTGCCTGCATAAAGGTAGTCACATTGGCAGTTTCAATAAAGGAAAAAAGGACATGTGTTTTCTGTCTTTTTCAATGTTCAATTTATTTATTTTTATTTACTTTTAATTTATTGAAGTAATCCATTGGTCATTATTTGGCCTTGTACTAAATGTGTTTGCTTTTGTCTTTTCATCTGAGTGGAACTAAAAAAGATTTTGTACATATCAACTGTATAGTTTGGATATTAACTGTTACTTGTATGATTAATGTTAATATCTGATGGTCTCTCCAGAACTTGGAACTTCTCAATGCACATAACTTAAAACCAACTTGAAGTATATTTAAGGTCATTTATGAGTTAGAGGAGAATTAAGCAGATCAAATGTACCACGCCTATTTTAGGTTCAAGGAGACTGTGCTGAATTTGATCTCTAGGAATATTTAAACCTTATAGTACCATGGAATAAGCATGTGTGGGTTTTAACATTTTTTAGGGTTTTTAAGGTGGTATAGTCCCTCCATGCCTTCCCAAAGTGGGATTGGCCTATACAGTGGTCCCCAGATATTTTTGTGGGTTCCTTCTTTTTTTCAATTTGATACACTGCTTTGTAACCTTATGGCTCTATGGGGAATAAAAAAATAAGGCTTGGAAATTAATATCTTAGTAAACATTTATTAGACAGACTCTCAAACTGTTATTTTGCTATTTTCACTGTACGTCATTTCCTAATTAAATTTCTTAATCATATGAAGAGTCTGTTCTTATTCTGTGTGTGTTTGCACGTTAATTTCCCCTCTGCCCCCTCCAAACAGACCAGTCCTGCAGGGGCAACTCCAGTTAAATTTAACAAAAGTGTTTTGCATGAACAACTACTAGAGAATTAGGCTGAGAAGGCTTTCAGACATAAATTCTGAGTGCTTATATAATAGATCAAGACACTTCATGAACACTAGCTAAACCAAAATTGTCTAGCATTTCCCAGTGCAACCAGAGGTATGTGTACCCAGTTTGAGAAAGTGTCTTAAGACATCTCTACTTGTAGTTTATGAACCTAGTATTTGGTTACATTAGAATAGCTTAATTCACATAGTAACTAACTTAAGGTAGATCCTGGACAATTTCGGTTTAGCTAGCATTCATGAAGTGTCTTGGTCTATTAGTTAAACACTCGGAATTTGTCTGAAAGGCTCCTTGGCCTAATCCTGTAGTTGTTCATACAAAACTTTTGTTAAATTTAATTGGAGTTTTCCCAGCAGGACTGGTCTAGGGAGGGGAGGGGCGGGAAATACATATGCAAATAAACATGCCCAGAATAGGAAGAGACTCATCATATGATAAAACAGTTTAATTAGGAAATGATGTACTGTAAAAAACAAAACAAAACAAAAAAAAGCAAAATAATAGCTTGAGAGTCTGTCCAATAAACGTTTGCTAAAATATGAATGTCCAAGTCTTTCTCTAGGGTGTGAAAATTTAATCTCTCCAGAGTATTGCACAGTGAATTTTGAGATTTAGTGAATAGTTGAAACTGCTCTCCAGCACACTTGGCTGTCTGAGCTCTAGTTTGAGCTGAATACTCTGGAGAGTGGGGTAGGATGCACAGGGAAGCCAGAGAGTGGGGAGGGGTCTGGCAAAAAAAAAGATGATCACTTTACATGCAGGCCAGACTATTTAAGGAAGGCATCAAGCTAGAAACAGTAAATATTAGCATTCAGATGTTTGAAGAGCTGAAGAGTGGAAGCCGTTATCAGCTAATGTATACAACATTATTTTTTTCCAGTTACACATAATAAATAACAAAAAAATCTGTAAAAGTTAGTCACAAAGATTTTACTGTCCTGCTTTTGTTTCTCTGCAAGGTCTCTTCAGCTTGTCAGTACCAGGCCATGCTTCTGCTGACACAAGATGCTAGGGAAGTGCACCTTTTCTTTCAGAGGGACATCACCTGACCACCCCAGACTCTGCTAGACCTGAGTCTTAGAACTTGAATATATATGGTCTACCCATACCTCATTGGTTTGTTTATAATGTTGGAGCATAGGGCTTCTAATTTAGTAAAGATTAATCCTGTTAATTAGTTAAGTGACTCTAAGATATGCAGGTCTCATTTATATATTCCTTTTGAATTCGGTAGTAAAACTCCCACTTACTTCAGCAGTAGCTGGAATTGGCTCCAGCCAATTTCACTTTTGATACATTATCATAAATTGGAGCATGATTGGAAGTTGGTCCATATATACCTGCATCAGTTGAACTAAAATCCATGCATTTAACTGTATAGCTATAAAAGCGAAACTTGGGTATGGATATTCTTCAACTGATTGAGACTTACCTTAGGTGACTGCTTACTGCTTCAAATATTTTATCCATTTGGCTTACGTCAGCAACAAATTGTTAAAGGTAGGTTCCAAACTACTGAATAATATCCACACATGTTTTTCACCAGTTTAACTAATTAGATTTAAAAGTGACATTTGTGGTTAAATGGGTACAAATTTTGTGTTTAGTCAAGGCCTGTAAATATTGAGACTGTGCCAAATCAAGTGTGGATTCATTGATTTGAAGGGATTGAAGCATGAGGGCCCAAAATGACGTGTCCTTTCGCTTTTTATAGGATTTATTTTATTTGAAGCCAGGGTAGATTTGTACCTTAAAGACTAACTAAATTAGATTTTTAAAGTGTGTATGTGTGGCATGAACTTTCATGAGTTGGAGCTCACTTCATCAGATGCTGTAAGAGGATGTACACAGAGCCATGTATAATATTGAGTGCATGCTCTGAATACAACGATAGAAAAGGGGAAGGAGGAGATGACAGTTCTGGGAGAGGTCCCCCCTTCTACCTCTCTGTTCAAAGTTCTCTTTACATGTTATTTACCAGGGGTGGGCAGAATATGGACTGGGGGGCTGGATCTAGTCTGCCAGGCCATTTTATCTGGCCTGTGGAGCCCTTAAAATTTGGAAAATTAATATTTATTTGATCCTAGCTGCCTGTCAAAGATGACAGGAGCCAGGGGCAGTAGGATCCAGCAGCAAGGCCTGTCCAGCCCTGCCCCCCTCCCCCCAACCAGAAACCACTGGTTAGCAGAGGCTTCAGGCCTGGGACCATGGGGCTGTTCCTGCTTCCTTGCGCTGTAGAGGGGAATGTGGCCCTCAACACCTTGCCAAAACTCAGTAAGTGGCCCTCCACCTGAAATAACTGCCCTCCCATTATATACTAACCTGTGCACATCCTTTCACATTCTGTTCTTTGGTCACAGATCCTTTAAACTTATATTTAAAAATGCTTTAAAATTCTTACTACTGAAAAGTGTAGCAGGTGGCCATTTGAGTCCTGAGCACTTCTGATACGTGCTGCAATATTCACTTAAAGTATAAGACATATAATCTTTATAAGAAAATGGATGTGTAGTTTTAAGTTTAAAAGAAAATTAGGCACCTTAGACAAAAGTGGTTTAATTCAGTCAAACTCCAATTGTGATCTTTCTAAGATACCAGTATAAGGTAGCTCTCAAGACCCATTTCTAGAAATGATATGTGAAGAATAATGCCTCCCTACCTGTATCTGTGGTCAGAACCTTTTACTACATTAAGATTGAAAAGAACCCTAAAAATTAGTAACTTAATTTAAAATAATGGGAGTCCAGAAGAGTTTCTGCTCTGAAATCTTGCCTGTATCATTATTCTTGAAATGGTATAGTGTCTCATGCAAGGAACTTCGTTCTGACTAGAATTATTTTGTGTTTTGGCAGTCTTGTGTGGTCCCTACATGTTTTACCAATGGATAGATTTTGGGACAAAGTCTTGTGCCACGTGAGAAGTCTGTGAAAGAGCTGGAACTAGAATCCAACTGTCTCTTGTCCTGAGTACTTGCCTGTACTTAGAGTGCTCCTTTCCATAAGAAAGTTGATGAGGGAGATCATTTTGGTGGGTCTCAAACAACGTCCTTTCCTGTGAGGTCCAGTTTGTATATTAGAGACCTGCCAAGAACATCTGAAGAAGCTTTCCATAATTGTCTGGGTTGTGGTTTCTCTGGATTTTCAAACATTTCCTTTTTCTTCTAGTAGCTCATGTTTCAAGTTACCGATTTCTCAGTTCCTCTTATACTGCTGCTCGTTCCTAAGATTACTTCTTCACCGCATTGCTTTTCTCTGTCTTCCAAAAGTTAAAAGTGGTCTTATGAATGAAAGATTCACTAATGTTTGTCTCCTTGCTTGGAGACAGAGGGGACTGAAGGGAGGGGAAATGAACTGGATTACATTTGGAATATCTTAAGCGCACATCCCTTATTTTAGTGTCCTAGTATGCTGGTATCCTTAGTGAAAGCTTTCACAGACGGTGCATGGGATTTGCAGAGCCAGTTTCCTGTTACATAGCCGCATAATTATAATCAAGATATAAAGTCTGTCTCATCTTTCACGTCAAAAGCTGAATTTTTATTTTCCCTGAGAAATTTGAGTTTAAACATGTTCAGTTTATGCAGTGTATTTAGTTTATTTTATAAGTGGAGAAAATATTCTGGAATGATTCATCTAATTTCTGGCAAAGAAAATGTTTCTAATTAGGATAGCTTGCACTGCAGTTCTGACCTGTGAGGAGCTTCAGAATCAGGTAAACAAGCTACTTCTATTCATTTCCAGTACATTAATAATCGTATTTTATAGTATGGTGTATACAGAGCCCAAAGACATAACTGCAGACTATTTGATCCAGTAGCCTTCTGTTATTTCCATATTAACAGCGAGTCTTTATTAAACCAATTATGAAAATGATGGAAGCTCTAGGTTTAGTACCTCTCATTTTAAAAACAAACAACAAAGGTATTATATAAGGTGTAGGATGAATAAATCAAATTGGACTACCAACTCTGAAACATTGGCAGCAGTCTTTAAAGCATGATCTTACACTAGCCAAGATAACAGCTTGAAGTTATGCCTTATTGGAATAGAGAATATAATTCCCTAGACTTTACCGTGTTTAGACTTATTATTTAGTATCAGTTGTATGGTTACTGGGAAATTTCACTATCAGATAGATGGCTCATCATTTATTGAAATTATTTCCATCTCTTCCATA